AGGTATTCATATGAGGTGTCTTCATAAGATTGATTTACCCTGGACTTCCAACCAGTTGTCAATCAAAGCATATGAATCTTCTTTTCATCAGTAGTTATAAATATACAGATATCAAGTACTTCTATAAGGTTACAACCTTGAACACTGCAACCCAAGATTTATCAAAGCTTGATTTTGATAAATAATATTTATGGGAAATTGCTTGCAGGGAACAGAGTGGGCCCATTCCTCTTGATAATTCCATTTTTACCCTTGAACCAAACAAAAAAATGAGAGTGGCTTCCATGGACAAATAACTTATTTTTCCCTTTTCTGTGCTCTCATCTAGAGAATAAAAATAAAGGAATGAGACACTTGTCCCATAAAATTAGAACTTGAGACATCAATGGAGGTTCTGGAATTAAAAATAAAATGAACACAAAATCTTCTATACACCACAGGAGTAAATTGATCCTAGATGGTCACCTTGCCAGCAGAATTGTTATCCTGCCAACTCAAGTATTTATCAAAAATCTGCAAAGAGAAGGAATAAGAACACAGGAGAAGAATTTGCCTAGTATGTGTTTTATGAGCAAGTAGTGACTGATTAGCTCTTCAGTTGTGTTAATAACAAATGGATCTGAAAGGTCAGAACCAAATGCATATTTAATCATTTCTTGGAAATCAATTGACCCTCAAGTTAAAAATGAAATAGGCCTAGGACTGCATGTAGCAGGTGATGTGAAGATTGGCAGGTCAGTTATATCTCATTCTCAGCCTGACTTTCACATTTAAACTTGTAGACAGAGAAGTGAGCTATCTAAACTTGTTGTGGATCCGAGTTGCTGAATTCACCAGACATGAGGAATACAATCAGAAATGATGATGATGACTGCTAATGGAAATTAATTCTTTCTAAATAACTGTAACAAGAAAGCATTTATCTCAGGCAGAGAGTCTGCTCTAAATTACTGCATTGGTGTCAACAATTGGTGGGAATGTAAATTGGTAAAGCCACTATGGAAAATAGTGTAAAGGTTCCTCAAAAAAACAAAAATAGAGTTGTCATAGGATCCAGTAATTCCACTCCTGGGCATATATAGCCAGACAAAACTAATTCAAAAATATACATGAGCTCCTATGTTCTTAGCTGCACTATTTACAATAGATAAGACATGGAAATAACCTAAATGTCTATCAACAGATGAGCCGATAAAAAAGATGTGAAGTGTGCATACACATATATATGTATACACACTACATATATATATATGTACACATATACATATATATATACGTACACACACACACATATATATGTGGAATACTACTAAGCCATATAAAAGGATTAAATAACGTCATTTACGGCAACATGTGTGGACCTAGAGACTATCACACTAAGAGAAATAAGTCAGAAAGAGAAAGACATATACCATGTGATATCACTTATATGTGGAGTCTAAAATACAACACAAATGAACATATCTACAAAACAGAAATGGATATAGAGAACAGACTTGTGGTTGCAGGGGAAGTGGCAGAAAAAGGGAGAAAGATTGGGAGTTTGGGATGAGCAGATGCAAACTACTATATATAGGCTGGACAAACAGCAAAGTCCTACTGTATGGCACAGGGAACTACATTCAATATCCTTTGATAAATCATAATGGAAAAGAATATGAAAAAGAATGTACATATGTATAACTGAATCACGTTGCTATAGAGCTTAACAAAATACTGTGAATCAACTATACTTCAATAAAATTACTTAAAAAAAAATTAATGTAAGCACACTCAAAAGAAAAAGAAATCTATGAAAATGACCTTCTTTGAAAACTGATCAGCCAGCTGATCACAATGTTTAAATCCATTATTTAGGGATCTCGCCTTCTTCTTCCTCAGACACAATTTAGCAACTGAACAACAAAAGCCCATGGACTTAGTTCACATCAGATGTTATGCCCAGCCCCAGTCTAAGTATTTTCCAAACCTTGTGTAGAATGTCAAATGAAATAGAAAATATTAGGTTTTATTAACTCAGTAACAGTGAATCTCAATGTAGAACAAATCTCTCAAAAGTAATCTACCATAGATTACAGTATAGGCTAAACTTCTATGACAGTAGACAGGAAGAATTTGTGACCCAAATCTTTATTAATTCAAAGCATTCCCTAAAGCAACATTTCTTTTATGATTCTTTTGCTTTTACTTTCAAATTTTTGTTTCCAAGATTGACTTGATTGGCTTTTCTAGATGACAATGAAGGAGCTAGAATTTGAGGCTCTCAACTCCGGTTGTACATGTAAATCACTGGCAGAGATTTTAAACCTGCCTTTGCCCACCTCTAGAGATTCTTGATTCCATTTTCCTAGAAGGGAAGTGCACTCTTCAGGCTTTATAAAGTCCTGTGAGCGGACTTCCCTGGTGGTCCAGTAGTTAAGACTCTATTCCCAGTGCAGGGGCCACAGATTAGACCCCTGGTTGGAGAACTAAGATTCCACAAGCCACTGGGCAAGGCTGAAAAAAAAGTCCCAGGAGATTTTAATGCTGAGCCAGAGCTAAGAACCACTGTCCCAGATGATCAGCTGAACTGTTTTGAGTTAGCTGTTTTTAAATGGACTTTATAAAGCATAGGACTTACAAAAATAATGATAAAATTAAATCACATTGCAGGCAGATTTGTTACTAGCTGAGCCACAAGGGGAGCCCTTTCAAATGGACTTTATAAAGTATAGGGCTTACAAAAATAAGGATGAAATTAAATCAAGTACATCTGAGGCTGTTTTTAACTGAATTCCTGAACTAATTTGAACAACTAGTGCCTACAAATAGCAGGATCAAGCAAAAGAAACAGCAATCTGGTAGTCCGAAAGGCAGGCTGCTGTCTTTAGGAAATGAGAGAAAACCAAGAGGGAAATTCTGAGGTTTGATCAAGGTCCTCCCATGAGTGTGTTTGCACTGGGCCAGTAACTAGCACACTTTACTCACTAGATCATATGGTCATAAGGTCAGAATTGCTTTATAAAAATGGGTAGTTTTCTTGTTTAGTGCTTTGAGGGTAAATAAATACCAAAACGAAGATTTGGGGAAAATGCACAGGTAAATATTACTGTTGATCACACAGAATAAGAAACTGTCAAAAGTTATTAAATCACTCTATATGTGCCAGTATAACTAAGTAAAATATAGCACACTGGATGCCTAAAATGGTAGCTTAATTATCAAAAACATTCTTTTTTTTTTGAGTTTGATATATATTTATTTTTATTGAAATGTAGTTTGATTTACAATGTAATGTTCGTTTCTGGTATATAGCAAAGTGATTCAGTTATACATATAATATTAATATATTATATATAATATATATAACCCCTAATGGAAAAGAACCTGAAAAAGAATGTGTGTATGATATATACATATACTCTTTTTTCAGATTCTTTTCCATTATAGGTTATTACAAGATACTGAATATAGTTCCCTGTGCTATACAGTAGGACCTTGTTCATCTATTTTATACACAGCAGTGTGTATCTATTAATCCCCACCTCTCAATTTATCCTCCTCTCTTTTTTCCCTTATTAATTTTGTGATTTTCTATATCGACATGTATGTCTCTGTTTTGTAAATAAGTTCATTTGTATCATATTGTAGATATGATGTATCTACATATTGTAGATATGTATCACATACATATTCCATGTATGTGATATCATATGATCTTTAAATTATCAATAAATGGATACCCCTCAGCCCGTTTCCTCCTCTGTAAAATGGGAAAAGTAATACTCAACTTACGATGTTTTTTGAAGATTAAGTAAAACAATGCATCTAAAGTGCATAGCACGTTAACATATGGTAAACTCTCAATAAATCGGTAATTATAATCATTCTTAATGCTGGCATGTGTCCACAGAAACCAACAGGCTTCTGATAAGAAGAATTGCTAAAATCGTTCAGCAATATAACTTGGCTACATGTATCAAAATTTTCCCATATGTGCATACTCATTACACCAATAATCCTGGTTCTAAAAAAATCAGAGATATGGTCAAGGATACAAATCCATGCCTATTTATAGCATACTTTTATATTAATAACTAAAGTTATAGCAAAGGAACACATCAATACTGTATGTTAGAAATTTCAAAATTTGCATAAATTGGGATGTCAGTTTATGAAATATGCCCCAAATTGTGGAAAATATACTTTGGGGAAAAATTCAGATTTCATTTATAATTTTATTTGGTATTTTATTATTTTTATCTCTCTTTTGTATTATTGTATTATATATATATTTAAACTTGGAGGCTACAATATTGAGCATGACTAATTTGTAAGGATATCTAGAATGAATGAATGAATTCACTTTTTACCTTCATAAAGACAAGTCCTTTAAAAAAGTACTTTTTTCCCTTACCTTTACTACTTTGCCTAAAGGGATATAGAAGAAAATATTGCTCAATTATTCTTGCTCGACAGAAAATTCAATTTTTAATACAATTTTTTCTTGCCCCTTTGGTATAGCATTTTTTAAAAATGAGAAAGGCCTTTTCATTTATTTTTCTCTGTCAGATCAAAATGTGAAAGTGGCTCAATATTTGAATGAAATTTGAATGAAATTTAGAGCTATATTTGAGATGGCACACTTTTGCCTGCATGCTACCCGCCATATGCAAAATTCACTTGGGGGTTGGAAAACTGAACTACCAGAAGGTCCTGGGATTTCTGACTAGGAGACACTTATAAATATTATGGGACATTCACTGACCTTCTAGAAAAAGAAAACAACAATGGCTTCACATAATGAATCCAGAGACAAAAATCATAAAAATAGATGAGATAGAAGTAGTTTGTGATCAAAGTGCTACATACATGGGCACCTCTAGTACCACCTTCCACATTGAGAAGCAAGAATTTACTCCTTAACTATCAGATGTTTTTGAACAACACAGAATAGGCCAGTTCATTCTATCTTTAAAATAAAACAGATTTTATTAATTTTTAATAGAAGATTGACTTACTTCTACAATCCAATATTACATGGAGATGGATAAGCGGATGTTCAATTATATTCTACATTTACCTCTTTGGAATCAAGGGTTTCATGTTCCGGAATAGCCATCATTGGATGACTCAGCTTCACAGAAAAGACGCCCAGGATATGATCAGAGATAGAGGTAAGGAGAGATAAAAGTTTAAATTTAAGTTGGCAGTTAAATGATGATGCAAGTATATTATTGCTGATCATAGTAGATTCTACCAAGTGTAAACATTAAGATTTGATTGTTAGTAAAAACAAAGGAAGATATTCTTAACATAGAAAAAATTTTTAGCAGATGGTGAATCCTTAGAGCCTAAAACCACATCTTATTTCTCTGCATGTCCCACATACACTCTAACGGTGCTTGGCACACAGCATAGACAGTTACTAAATGTTTACTGAATGAATGAATGGTTAACATACACTGGCAGTTAACAGAGAGAGGAAATGAAGTTAAATCTATTTTTTTCACAACAATCCTCAAATTGAAAAGCTTCAAAGCAAAAGAGACATATCATGCTCAGACCAGCAACGCAGATGCCTCTGCAGATAGTTAATGCCTATATGAAATGTAAAACATTGTGCATTATTGTAAACATAAAGAATCTCAAAACACAAGGGCTTCATAAACATTGCAGTATTACCAGATGCCACTATGATACATGATAATGCAGTTTGCAACATAGTGACACCTTAACAGAGGGAGGTTCTTTGGTTTTTATATGAATTTTTTTATTATTGCATGGGTTTTCTGAGCACTATACATACCCTTAAACCTATTAGGAAAGAAAAAAGTCATAGATATGCAAGCAAAAAAGACAGGCAGACAGAATGAGGGACACAGGCAAGGGGAAGGCAATCATTTGTAATAAATCTGTTTACTCCCTTTATTTTTTAACCGTCTCTCCTCACTCCAGCTTTAAAGTAACCACAATACTTGATTTCCCAGAAATGCCCCAGTTTCTACTATGATCCTTGGCAAATCCCGGCTATGGAAATAATTGGCTGCCCTTTCCTCTTTTATCCTGATTTGGTCAGTGAACCATCAGATCAGTAACCAGCTCCTGATGCTCCAAGGCAATTCAGAAAGTCCCAGGAGTGCAGCCTTGGCCCCAGAAGGACATCACCAGTGGCTGCCAGGGAGGCCAAGGAAGTCCCATCTCCTTAAAGTTTCCTGAAGTTTCCCTCTATTCCAGTCCATTTTCAAGAGTGGAGCCTGCTTTTATTTAAAGCTATAGCTTTATTAAATCCCACTCTGTCCCAACTGTAAGATACCCTGGGTGTCATAACATCAGGGCTCCTAGAATCCTGAGACCATTACTTTAAATGGAAGTGTGATCTGGCCCCAAACCAACTAGAGATCCAAACAGCTTTCCAAAAGTCAGCTGAAAGCACCTGCTCTCTCCTGCTGATCAGGGTCCCCTGAGATCCTAAACCTGGCTTAGGATCAGATGCTATGTACCTCTTCAAAACTCAAACCTAAGTCCTGGAGACAGCAAAATTTAAGCATACCTAGGCTAAGTGGTATGGTAATTATATGAATCATCAGAGTCTGTACAAATGCCAATCTCCATTCTCCTAAGCTACAATAGGATAAAGATCCTGAAATTTGAGAGTGTTTTCCCAATAAAATATTCAACTGACATTGGAAAAGCAATTGAGTAATTATCTGATATCTACTTTACATTTTATTTTTTCAATATAGGTATTCATTTAAATCCTAAAATATATTTTAATCTGGAATTTTAAAAACTACGTATGAGCTATGTTAACCAACAAAAAATAACAGCAAACAACTGATTCTAATTAACTGGTAATCCCCAAATATTTGGCTTTGGAATGCTTTCTCCTATTTATGATCTTGGGACCCAGTAGGTTTGCTTTTTTATTATCCTCAATGTAACTAAAAATATACAAATTGTGGTACTGTTAATGGAGTAAGTCATAATAATTTATAGTTTCCTCACATGACAAATTCATTATATGTGTGTGTTTATATAGGCTTCCTTGGTGGCTCAAGTGGTAAAGAATCTGCCTGCAATGCAGGAGACCCGGGTTCGATCCCTGGGTCAGGAAGATCCCCTGGAGAAGGAAATGGCAACCCACTCCATGCAAGAGACGCAAGACAATGAAGCTTGGATGTCAGAGGAGGATTCTGGGCTTCATTCTCTAAAGAGTGAGAAGTCCTTGAATCTACAAGGGAGAAAGGGGCACATGCAATCAGATTGTCACATCAAAAGACATCGTCCTTGCTAAAGAGCAGAATACAGATGGGGGAGGAGGGGTTGGAAGACTGGTGGGTAATCAGAGAGAAAGAGAATAAAGACAAAGGTTTAAATGAAAGCAGTACCTTAGAGAACAGAATGAAGTCAAGTTTCCCTGGGTGACCCTAGATCCCCCTACTCTCCAGGGTAAGTGAAGAAGTGTCAGGTCGACATGTTGAAATTTTGTTGATTAGGGAGGAAAAATCGCAGAATGTTCCAGGGAAATACAGTAAGCCTCCTACCTATGAACCTCCGAGTTGCGAACTTTCAAAGCCGGGACCAACTGTGCATGCGCTTGCACGTCCAGTCGTGTCAGGATGAGAGGCGCTGCAGCGTGCCTCCCTCTCCTGCTGCTGACCCTGCATCTCTGCCATCTCCCACCTTCTCTACCCCCCCACCCGCCCCGGTCAGTAACTCTTCTAGCCGATTCACTCGATGCCAGCCCCTGTATCCCAGCTACTATACTGCAGACTACTGTACTTTTCAAGGTATTGTATTGTAAGATTAAATAATGTTTTCTTTTTGTTTGTTTTTACTATTGGGTGAAAAGTATTATAAACCTATTACAGTACAGTACTATGTAGCCGATTGTGTTAGCTGGGTACCTCGTCTAGCTGTGTTGAACTTCAGAACAAACTGGACTTATGACACTCTCTGAACAGAACTCTTTTGCATGTAGGGGACTCACTGTCCTGCTGAGGGGTATGTATGCTGAATACAGAGGTTTTGTAAACCATGAGAGCTGGAAATGTCACGTGAGGACAACAAACATGGAGGGACATCCTCTCACAGTCAGAATGAGAATGAGGACACTAAAACATTGAAATATATCCCATATATTAATAGATGGATGATGTGTTATCCAGGGAGTTAGTCGTTACAGGAGGACAGAGAGAGTCCTCCCAGCCTGTTTACTTGGTGGTGAATGTGCTGGAGAACAAATTACTATTTTGTCTCAAAAAAAAAAAAAAAAAACCCTGAAAAGTTATTAGTTTTATCATCAGACCTTTATTCAACATAGACAGATCAATGAAATGGAAAGCTCTGGTGAAGTGAGACAAAACATCCTTTCATCCCAGATGGAAACTCCAGTCCCAGATATTGTATAACACTCATCAGACCTTTGCTCACTCCCCACTGGGGGCTAATCAACAAGCGGTATTTGAATGAAACCTTCGGTTGAGTTTTATTACACTCTTGATCACAGCTGCCACCGCACAAGTATAAAGCCTTGTGGAGCGTTTGTCACCAGTGTGGGGCTTTTTCATAAATGTCACTGCATCTCCAGGGCTAACTTCTGTGACAAAGACAGATAAAAATCCCCTCCAAGCAACTGAAGAGACTCCAACAGCGAGAAGGAAAAAGAAACTATGCCAAATGTGGTGAAATCACTTAATTAAGTCTTAATCTACCTGAGGAATGACATCCAGAGCGCTAGCTTTTATGAAACAGCTCTCGCTCCTGCTCAAAGATGAAGCAGATTTTCTCACCTGCCAGAAATGACAAACCTGAGGAAGTGCGGCAAGAAATGTTCCCATTTTTAAATTGCCGAGGGTGCTAGACCTGCTTTTCAGAATTCACTCCTCGGGATTGCTTTTTAGCTGAACCGCATCCTCTTGTAAACTTCCTTCACGCTATTCATCTTCAGGAAGCTATCCCCCCTACTTCTGTCTCCTACCGAGATTTGTGAGCCACTCAAGCTAGAGTGTAAACCTAAGAACATCTCTCCAAAATAGACATGACAATTACCAAAGGGGCACCTACATAGAGCTCTTTGCTTTTTGAGTACAGTGTTGTCATGGTGAGACTGTGAGCTACTGGACACCGTGTCTATTCGACGTTATTCACCTTTAGGCTGACTGGACCTGGTACAGAGGCCACACAGCAGAGGAGACACAGAGTGTGTGTTGAATAAATAAATTAGCAATGGCAGAGGGAAGGGATGAAACAGAGGAAAGAGTGTTTTCTGATTTGCAAAACTATAGAAATTCCGCATTGGTGAAGAATTGGAGTTGTTTACTACATTCCCCAAAGTCTTCTCGTTGGTAAGAAACTTTGCAAACTAGGGATGCTAAAACCAGCTCTATGGGATGTGTGTGTTCTGCTTAAATCCCTCACGATTCTTCAGCTTAAGTCAGACAGAGGAAGACAAATATACTGTAATACCCCTTATATGTGGAATCTGAAAAAGTGATATAAATGAACTTATATACAAAATAGAAACAGACTCTCAGACACAGAAAACAAACATATGCTTCCCAAAAGGGAAGGGTGGGAGGGAGTGATAAACTGGGAGTTTGGGGTAAACAGACACACACTACTGTACATAGAACAGATAGACAACAAAGACCTGCTGTATACACAGGGAGCCATGTTCAATATCTTGCCTATAATTAAACAAGTAATAACAGCCTGTGATTTAAAAGAATATATAGGTACACATACACGTGTGTGGTCAGTCCCATCAGCCGTGTCTGACTCTCGGTCGCCCCATGGACTGTAGCCCGCCAGGCTCCTCCTTGGGATTCCCCCAGCAAGAATACTGGAGTGGGTTGCCATGCCCTCCTCCGGGAGACCTTCCTGACCCAGGGATCAGACACACCCCCCCTGTGTCTCCTGCATGACAGACAGATTCCTTACCCAGAGACCCCTGGGGGAGCCCATGTACATATATGAATAACTGAACCAGACTGCTGCACCTCTGAAACTAACACAGCATGGCAAAGTAACCATCCTTCAATTTTTAAAAAGGGAAAAAATAATTTAAAAAAGAACTGAATTTAGTCATCAGTCTCTGAGTCCACAGATTCCACGTCAGGTGTATGTCTTTTC